GACATGTCAACCCTCTCCCTTCTCGACCTTTTTTTTTTTTTTGGTGAAAATATACATAGCCAAAGATATACCATTTCAAAAATTTCTACATGCAAAGTTCAGTGACATCGACTACGCTCTTCCAATTGTGCTGCTATTCTCACTTTAGATGAAGGCTTACAGAACAAAATAGTATCTCATTAAACAGTTAGTACACATGTTGCCCTATGACAATAGTTAACAACCTCACAACACATCAACACTATCCTTACTCAACCTTGGGTTCCCTATCACCAGCTTTCCTGTCCTCTTCTGCCTTCTAGTCCTTGTCCCTGGACTGCTGTGCCTCATTAGTCCCATTTGGTTTTATCTGGATAGATTTTACTGCTAGAATCCACAGGTTTTGCTGATAGATTTTATGTATATAGGGTGTGGGAGAAAAAGAGAGTTAAGGATGACATCTAGGTTTTTGGACTGAGGAACTAGAAGAATGGAGTGGCCATTTTATGAAAAGGGAAACACTGAGGGTACTGAAGATTTGGGGGAAAATATCAGGAGTCCAGTTTGGGACCTGTTACTTTCGAGATGCCTGTAGACCTCCAAATAGGGACATTAAGTAGACAGTTATACAAATTATTGTATATCTGTATTGTATACAGAATATACAAATTCAGAGCTGGGGGGTGGGGTGGGGTATGGGAGGTCCAATTTGGAAATTTACATTTGAGAGTAATCAGTATGTAGATGGCTTTTAAAGCCTTGAGACTGGAGGAGATCAATGAGTGCAGAAAAGGGGCCTAAGAACTGAGCCTGGGGGCACTTCAGTAGTTAGTGGTCGGGAGTTGAAGCAGCAGCCAGAGAGACAAGACCAAAACCAAGTACGTGCTTATGAAGTGTTACTAGTGTGTTGCTGCTGTAATAGCACATCCATTCCTCCCCACCTTTTCTTCTTCCTTCACCACAAATATCACCACTACTAGATTTGTGTGTGTGTGTGTGTGTGTGTGTGTGTGAAGTGACCGTATGGAAAACAGTGACAAATCACTTTACATGTATAACAGAGATTTATTATTATTATTTTATTATGACACATGGTGGCCCCATGTATTAGAGTAGAACTGCTCCATAGGGCTTTCTTTCTTCTTTTTTCAATTTTATCATGCTTTAGGTAAACGTTTACAGCGCAAATCAGTTTCTCATTAATACACAAATAGTTTTGTGACAATGGTTGCAATCCCTGCAATGTGTCAACACTCTCCCCCTTTCCCTTTCTACCCTGGGTTCTCTGTGTCCATTTGTCTAGTCTTTCTGTTCCTTCCTGCATTCTGTTTGCATTTGGGCAGGTGTTATCCATTTGGTCCCTTATACCTGATTGATCTAAGAAGCACATTCCTCACCTGTGTTATTGTATAACAGAGGATTATTGAAAAACTTAACTGGTACCCTTCTTTTTCTTCTATATAGTCCCAGGGAGAAATGTTCTTTTTCTCTTCTGGCCTCGTTTCCAGGACCAGGAAGGTAAGTCTTTGCATTAATTCTGGGTCCTTTGATAATCCCCCAAGCAGAATGGCTTTGTTTAAGAAGGGAAGGGGCTGGAGGCTGAAGTTTTGAGTGGAATAGAGGAATGAGCAGATGGAATCCTGGAGGAATGTTAATTTTTTTCTCCCTAAGCCTGAGGGAGGGGAATAAAGGCTGGGGGATGGGGTCCAGTAGATTTTAGAGACTTATGTTTATCTAGCATGCAACTCTCTAGTGGCAGCAAGACCTCGGAAGGGGGATAACTGCCCAGATGTGACTGGAGATCGAAGAACGAATGCCACAGCCTTGACAGCATTGGCATAAGTCATCTGTCACTGGGTGGAGAAGCAGGCTTGGGTACCTCTGTAGTAGAGGCTGATAAAGGCTCAGAGACAGGGAAGGCCAATAAGGCATCTGAAATAAAATTGCTTTGCAAAAAGAGCAGATCTGAGCCCAAGGCACGGGTCAAAGTGTTTGTAGGAGGGTACTTGTAATGGTATACCATATGGCTGGTTTTAGATGCTCCTCAGGACTGAGCCACCCGGGGGTGTAACTGAGCTTTGGGGAATAATGGCACATGACTGCGAGCTAGGAGAGTTGTAATCTGAGAACTAAAGCATGGATACCCACTGTGCTGCAGGCAGGAATCTGAACAAACCAGGGCATCACCTCAGTCTGCTGGACTATGCTACATCATTATGGTAGAAAATGGCAGCATTAATGATCAGAATCTGCTTTCCTTCCGTTTTGTATTGGGAAGGGAACTGCACTCTTAGGTCTAAGATGTGAGCCCCCAGTTTACTGAGCAATCAAGGGTGAAGAGGCTTCAAAAAGGAGGGACTAAACTTTCTAAAAATAAGGCACTCGGGCTTGAATGGTTTATTGAACAAAATAAAAGAGATAAGGCCTCTGAGTTTGTGAAACAGGTATTACTACTTACGCATTAAAGAAACTTGGGATGTTGTAGCCGAAGAAGACAGTATTTTATAGGCGTTATGATAGGTTTTGAGGAGCCCTGGCGGCTCAGTGGTTAAGTTCTTGGCTGCTAAACAAAAGGTCAGCGGTTCCAACCCACCAGCTACTCCCCGGGAAAAAGATGTGGCAGTCGGCTTCTGTAAAGATTTATAGCATTGGCGGCTGACGTACGAGGAAATGCTCGTGATCACTAGTCATTAGAGAAATGCAAATCAAAACTATAGTGAGATATCATCTCACCCTGACATTACTGGCACTAATAAAAAAAAACAGAAAATAGCAAATGTTGGAGAGGCTTCCAGGAGATTGGAACTTTATGCACTACTGGTGGGAATGCAAAATAGTACAACCATTTTGGAAAACAATATGGCGCTTCCTTAAAAAGCTAGAAATAGAAATAACATACGATCCAGCGATCCCTCTCCTAGGAATATACCCTACAGAAATAAAAGCCATCACACAAACAGACACATGCACACTCATGTTCATTGCAAAATTATTCACAATGGCAAAAAGATGGAAACAACCTAAATGCCCATCAACAGATGAATGGATAAACAAACTATGGTACATACACACAATGGAGTACTACACAATGATAAAGAACAATGATGAACCTTCAAAATATCTCACAACATGGATGAATCTGGAGGGCATTTTGCTGAGTGAAATACGTCAATCACAAAAAGACAAATATTGTATGAGACCACTATTATAAAAACTCATGAAAAGGTTTTCACAAAGAAAGAAACAATCTTTGATGGTTACGAGGGAGGGGAGGAGTGAGGAGGGAAAAACACTAACTAGACAATAGATAAGTGGTAGCTTTGGTGAAGGATAAGACAGTACACATCACTGGGGAAGTCAGCACAACTTGACCAAGGCAAAGTCATAGATGCTTCATAAACCAAAAAAACCCGAAACCTGTTGCTGTCAAGTAGATTCCGACTCATAACGACCCTACAGGACAGAGCAGAACTGTCCCATAGGGTTTCCAAGGAATGCCTGGTGGATTTGAACTGCCGACCTTTTGGTTAGCAGCTGAATTCTTAACCACTATGCCACCAGGGTTTCCGAGAAGCTTCATAGACACATTCAAACTCCCTAAGGGACCAAGTTACTGGGTTGAAGACTGGGGACCATGGTCTCTGTGGACATCTAGCTCAATTTGCATAACATAGTTTATAAAGAAAACGTTCTACATCCTACTTTGGTGAGTAGCGTCTGGGGTCTTAAAAGCCTGTGAGCAGCCATCTAAGATACTCCACTGGTCTCACCACTTCGGGAGCAAGGGAGAATGAAGAAAACCAAGACACAAGGGAAAGATTAGTCTAAAGGGATAATGGACCACAACTACCACAGCCTCCATTAGATTGAGTCCAGCACAACTAGATGGTGCTTGGCTACCACCACCGACTGCTCTGACAGGGATCACAACAGAAGGTCTCCGATAGAGCAGAGAAAAATGTAGAACAAAATTCAAACTCACCAAAAAAGACCAGACTTACTGGTTGGACAGAGACTGGAGAAACCCCAAGAGTATGGCCCCCAGACACCCTTTTAACTCAGTACCGAAGTCACTCCTGAAGTCCACCCTTCAGCCAAAGATTAGACAGGCCTATAAACAAAAATAACACATGCAGTTCAACCATGTATATGAGACTAAATGGGCACACCAGCCCCAAAGCGAACACAAGAAGGCAGGAAGGGACAGGAAAGCTGGACAAATGGAAATGGGGAAGCCAAGGTCAAGAACGGGAGAGTATTGACACATTGTGGGGTTGGCAACCAATGTCACAAAACAATATGTATATTGTTTAATGAGAAACTAATTTGCTCTGTAAACGTTCACCTAAAGCACGCACACACACACACACCCCCACACCCACACACGAAGATTTATAGCCTTGGAAACCCTAAGGGGCAGTTCTACTTTGCCCTGTAGGGTTGCTATGAATTGAAATCGACTCGATGGCAGTGGGTTTGTTTTGTGATAGGTTTTGTTTTTTTTCAAATGTGATGTATTAGTCTTGTTCTGTGTGGCTCTGGAGAGCAAGACAATAAAAAGACTGTAAGTTGCATGTGCAGAAGAACAAATGTTCACTACTAAATCCCAGCACATGAATGGTGCTAACACATTTCCAGTAAACGACTGAATGCATGCATGATGAACAAAAACCAATGGTTGAAACTGAAAGAGGCAGATTGTTGACTCAGCTTATCTTTCAGTCAATCTGAGCTATTAAAAAATTAAATGGACTGCCCTTGAAAGGCAGTGAGATTCTCTGTTGCTAGGAGTGAAACAGGAGCTAGGGGACCATATTTTTGGGATGTGATAGAGAAGATTGATTCATCAGATAATAGTCAGAGCTACCTAACCTCTGTGAACTCTGAAAACTCAGGCACTCCAATTCTGTAAGTCCAAGGGTCTCCATACACAGTTTGGGAGAAACAAAACAGGACTCATAGTCTCGCAGAAGTCTGCAAGTGGCACGTTTATTAAACAAATGCTCACGACCGATGTTTCACAGCAGCAACAAATGTTTTTTCGCTACATCAAATCTCCCTTACTAAGGAAAAAAAACGACAATCTCACACAAGGTTGATGGATTTAGATTCTTTTTCCCACGTTTCCTGGGGTGAAACCAGCCTCCTCACGCTGTTTCCTCTTTTGCACGTTCAACTAATTTCATCTTCTTCACCTCCTGTCTGGCCAAGTGTCCCCGGAAGGCTGCTTGGATTTTGATAGCAGCAAACTCCATCTTTTCCTTATCTTCCTCAGAAGACTCCTTCATTGAAAGGAGAAAAAGTACAAGACTGGTTAAAAATCTCATATTTTTGATGCCATGAAAATAAATGCATAAATTTCATCAATTTAGGGACGCAACGATCTGAGATCTGCTGCTTCCTGAGGGAATTTTATATATTGTCACATTGTATACGTACCAAATGGTGAATGCCCAAATAGCAGGCATTTTGTTTTGTCACTTTTTAACATGTCTCTGCAAAACAAGATCACTGCCAGCTTTTTTTTTTCCAAATAGCTCCTGTTTAACAGTTTCCTGAGCAATCACATTTTTGGGGGAAACAAGAAAGAATGCTTGAAGCATGGTAAAAATGTCAAGAAGAATAGTAAATGTGCTGTTTTAAAAGAATCATAATTATATAAGCTGGATTAGAATGTTAGCTTCTTAATCGCTCAGTGATTAACTAATCAAAATCATGCATCTGAAGTGGAGTGCCCAAGAGAATCCCTTCGTCTAACAATGTCAGTTCCAACATGGTTGGTTCAACTTTGGTATACAGCTTCTTCTTCTTTTTAAAAATAATGTGGGTATAACTTACAAACACTGAAATGCAGAGATCGTAAGTGTACAATTCAATAGAAACATAGTTTTTAATATAGGTTTTTAAATGATAAAAGTGACATCAAAAAACACCCAAAACCAAACCAAACCAAACCAAACCTGTTGCCGTCGAATCGATTCTGGCTCATAGCGACCCCATAGGACAGAGTAGAACTGCCCCATAGGGTTTCCAAGGAGCAGCTGGTGGATTCGAACTGCTGACCTTTTGGTTAGCAGCCGAACTGTTAACCACTACGGCACCAGGGTGTCCAAAGTGACACTGGCACATGTAAAAACCTAAATATCACTGGATATCCTATACTTCTCAGAAGTGACCATTATTATGGGTGCAGTATATATATATATATATTCTGGAAGTATATCTATATTCTGGAATATATATATATATTTCCAGAATTTTTCTGTTTACAAATACATCGATATGAGTATATCTATGCCTTTTAATTTAAAAAATGAGGTCGTTGCTAATCACAGAGTTCTGAAACTACTTTTTCATGTAATAACGTATCTTAGTTCTCTTTTTTGACGTTATTATTCAGTATATAACTCAGCCCTTTCTTTTTTTATGACATCATTGTACTCCATTATATTTACGTACTTTGATTTCTTTACTCAGTCCCTCATTGAATGGATCTTTGGGTTGTTTCCTCCCTCCCCCACCTCCACTACAATGAGGCAAATCTGGCTCTTAAATTTTTAAATGCAGAGAGAATGGTATAAAATCCTCAGAGATGATACTCCAATATGGGCAAATGAATTATGCTCAAGTTGGAAATCGATGAGATTCCAACTTAAAGAAAACCAACAACAAACCCGTATAAAGGCACCTGTGAAAGATGTAAGGAAATAAGATTCCCTTCCTTCTTCCTGGACTTTGCATTTTATGCCAATGCCAGACTTACTGGGTGGTACTGAAATAATTCTGGTATAACCCGTAAAGGTTGTAGGGAAAATCCATGACCCAGTGGGTAGGAACTGAAGTGTTCCTTGAGGGGGATGTCCATTTGGGTATTAATTATTGGTTTACTAACTGGGACAAGACGTGAAAAGGAACTCAGAATTTTGGCCTCTAACGTAGAGAGAATGACTTCTTCTTTCTTACTAGGCCTAGTCCTCTGGAGTCTGGACTATGAAGACTACAGGCAGTGGTGTGCTGATAAATGTCTAACAATTGGCTCCTCTGACAGGAGCCCTGGTGGTGCAGTTGTTAAGCACTCGGCTGCTAACTGAAACAGTGGTGGTTTGATCCCACCCATGGCTCTGTGGGAGAAAGACGTGGCAGTCTGCTTCTGTAAAAGATTACAGCCTTGGAAACCCTAGGGGGCAGTTTTTACTCTGTCTTACAGGGTCATTAGGGGTTGGAATCAACTTAATGGCAGTGGATTTGGTTTTTGGTTGGTGCTTCAGGAAAAAAAAAAAGGCCTCATTTGTAGCATTTTCCGTGATATCAATACTCCCGTTGGTGCCTGACTTCAAGCTACCGAGGTGACATCGCTGCACACGAAGCTGGTAGAGCCGTGCACCATCGCGACTTGGGGGCTGGCCCTAGGACACCACTAATACAGGCACTTGAGGGCGGACTCTCCCCAGGTCTCTACTGCTTGGGTGTAGGCTGTCAGGCAGGAAGGCCTTTTTTAGAGGGACGTGCATGGAAGGTGCGTAAGCTACGTTTTGTAAAGCCATTTTATTTGGTTTCCTTTTGTTATCTCTGAACCTTTGCCATTGTGTGGTGGTGACAGCATCAATCAGTGAAACTTTCCTGAAGGAGAAGGTGACTCTGAAGGAACAAGACTGGGGCTGTGAGTTCTGTCTACCATTCCCCATGGGGAACTTTTCCTTCCATTGACAGTCTTGGAAAATAAGATCTGATGTGAAGGGGAAGAATGAGTTTTCCTTTATAAGAGGTATTGCTGAAAATGACCCACCAATTAGTTCATCACTGCTGTTAATTATCTAGAAAGCAAAAAACATATTTTTTACAATAAAAAATAACAGACTGGATTTAAATTTAGAGTATAACTTTTAAACTGAACATTATCATTCTTTGTTGGAATCCAAAAGATTACATGGAAAATAATACTTACTAAAACCGTGACTGGTGTCTCTTCCTCGTTCACCGATTCTTGAGACTGTTCCTTTTCAGGTACATCTTTCTCAGGGGGTTCTTCCTCCTGAAGAGAGAGGAGAGGGCCAAAGAGGCAATGTTTTCAAAACAGCAAAGTCTTGGATCCAACGGCTTGAAGGTAATTAAATATTACTTTGAGTTATTGAGAAGTAGGCAGAATTAAAAACACACTGATCTTTTAACCAGGAAAGTAGGTTGGAACAAGAAGAAATAAATGAAAACTCTCAAGGAAATATGAGCAAACAAATATCAAAGACCAAGAGCCTAGTAAAAATGTTTGATCTTTTGCTTCTGGAATGTGTATACCTTGTCCCATAAAGGAACAGTTTCCTCTTCCTTTACACTGAAGAACACTACACCATTGTTTTACACTAAAAGTGGGTGAGATGCTATAATGAATCCTGAACAAAATATAAAAAAGTAGTACAATAGTTCCTGAAATAGGAACAAAAAAAATGCCATTGTGTTCCGTCGTGCGAGGTCAAGCTGACTTTTTAACGTTTGTGGAGTAAAAACCAAGTCAAAGAAGATTTGCTGTGGGGAATAATTTAATGGGAAAAGAGAAACCAGCTCTGTTGATTTTGATATGGTTATTGAAGTCTTCCTCCAAAATAGAGGCAACGCTAAGTCACTGCTTAAGAGAAGAGCTTCTGTAATTGAAATTTAAGGACGTATAATCTAATAAATAAGGCCTTTAAAAGTCCAGAGATGGGGAAAAAAACTTGCAACCGCTATGTGATACAACGATTTAATGATTTTCAGCATTATTCCTTCGATTTCAATAAAATAGGAATATACATAAACCATGGACACAGAGAACACCGTTAAATGGAAATGGAACACTCTCGTATCCGGCAGGCACAAATGGATGAACTTCACTTTTGAACTCAGGAAATAAGTGGTAACCACTTCCCCAGGAATTCTCCAAAGTCTACAGGGAAACACCATCAAAACTTGAACTTTGTTAATTCTTTTAAGTCTAATTATCTGTTGGTGCTTTGTGGCTAAGAGTATTATCTCAGTTGTCTAGAGCAGTGATTCCTAAACTTTATAAACTAAACTTACTTTGGAGATCTTGTTAAAATGCAACTTCCGATTTGTAGGTCTAGTAGGCCCAGGATTTACAGTTCTATCAAGATCCCAGGTGATGCCAATGATGCTGATCCTACCCAGCCATTCTCTGCCAGGTTCCTCATCTGAACTCCGGGACACAGAAATGTGAGCTTGTCTATTTTCTCAGTTCTCTCAAGGATGGTACATAACTCGCACCATGACAGATACAAAGGAGAGACAGTGATTCCTTACATGGCTTAGGGCTTAATTATTTTGAAGAACCCTGGTTGAGAAAGGCTGGCTTTGAGAACGCCACAAAGAGAAAGACTGGCTCACTCTGAAGAGACTAGCTTTACAGAGAAAACTCTGTCCATCACCATCTTTAATTCTAGTTAGTCTTTTACAACATGTCAATGATAATGAATTAATGGATTGATAGTGTTTTACTTTATGAAATATCATTCATTAATCAACAAATATTTACTGAGTACCTGCTATGTGCTAAGCACCGATACTCAATAAATATCTGAAAAATAAATGAGTGAATAATTATTCTAGACCTTTCAAGCACTTTTTTCTTGTTGATCATCTTTAAACTTAAGCTGAGAATCTTACACATGATTCAGATACTTTAGAAAAGAATTTCTCATTAGGAAAAAAAACAGCACAATTAAAAAGGTTTAATAAGATATCTGTGATGCTTCTCACAATTCTTTTCTGTTTTGGAGACGGAGAAGAAACAGCTAAAGGCTAAAGGCTTCACAATACCTGGAATGCACGGTTGTTATAGAAACGGTCGTCTACCTTAGCCCCCCATTCTGCTGGATCAAAGTCGGTTTCTAAAGAATAAAAAGATAATAATGTCAGACTTATTTTGAGTTTATTAAAGTAAATATAGGATAGTAACACAAACAAGTTCTTTTTTGAAATCATAGGTTCTTCACTGCCAATATAAAGTCTTACCAACATCATACATAGCCTAGCACTGCAAACATAACCAATAGTCATTAAATACGTATGATAATGAATTAAACACTGGATGAGCCCTTGGAAATATTTAGCAAAATGGTAAAAAACCAGAATTGCTGCCTTTACAGAATTTATAAAAAGGTGGGTGAGACTAAATACCCATATCTAAACATAAGTATAGAAGCTTATAAACATGCATCAGTAAACACAGGAAAAGGTATAAAAATGCTAAGTACTCAGGAAGTTTGGAAAAGTGAAGGATGGGAGAGGCTTTCAAAAAATGAGGTATTATATAGCCAGTTGACACAGATTTTATATTTAAACAGATTTTTTTTCTTTAACTTTTCACTATGGGAAATTTCAAACTTAGAAAGTAAAAAAGAATAGTATAATGAACCCCCTTGTGTCCATTACCGATTTAATAAATTTTCAACTTGTGATTTCTCTTGTTTTATCTGTACCTGCACTCACTTGTCCACCTTTTCCTATGATTACGTTCAAGCAACCCAGACATCATATTATTTTATCCATAAACATTTATTTCAGTATGCATCTGTAAAATATACTCTCACTCTTTCTTTGAAATACTATTTTACTATGTTTTCGGTAAAAGTTTACACAGTTTAGGTTCCCATCCAACAATTTCTACCCAAGTTGTTCAGTGACATTGGTTATGTTCTTCACAATGTATGAACACTCTCATTATTTCTGTTCTGGTGGTTCTGTTTCCGTTAATCGAGTTTTCCCTGCCCCCTTACATTCTCATCTTTGTTTTGAAGTAATTGTTGACTGCTTGGTCTCATATAGGTGATTTTTTAAAGCAGCACAGTACTGACAGGTGATACACATTATTTTGGAGCCAATCTGTTATTTAGCTACTAGGTGACCTCAGGGGTTTGTTTCGGTTCAAGGTTTGAAGAGCATTAGTCTTGGGGAGTCCTCCAGTCTCAACCAGCCCAGTGTTTTTTTTTTTTTTTTTTAGGAATTTGAGGTTCTGTCCCACATTTTTCTCTCATTCTGTCAGGATCCATATCTATTATGGCCCTGATTAGAATGATCAGTAGTGGTAACCAGGCATCATCTAGTTCTTCTGGTCTCAGGGTAGATGAGGCCAGGGTTCCTGTAGACTATTTATTTTGTTGACTAGTTTCTTCTTTGAATCTTTGGTTTCCTTCTTTCTCTTTTGCTCCAGACAAGTAGAGACAGATAGTTGTATCTTAGATGGCTGCTCACAAGCTTTCAAGACCCCAGACACTACTCACCAAACTAGGATGCAGAACATAACTTTATAAACTATTTTATGCCAATTGACTGAGATGTCCCATGAGACTATGGTCCTAATCCTTCAAACCCAGAAACCCAATCCCATGAGGTGTTTGGTTATGTTTAAGAACTATCTGCAAGTGTGCTCCCTGTGTGCTTTATTACGTATTTGAATATATGTGCATATAGTCACACAGATGCATATACATATACATATGTTGTTGTTAGGTGCCGTCAAGTTTGTTCCGACTCATAGCGACCCTACGTACAACAGAACGAAACACTGCCCAGTCCTGCACCATCCTCACAACAGCTGCTATGTCTGAGCCCACTGTTGCAGCCACTGTGTCAATACATCTTGTTGAGGGTTTTCCTCTTTTTCGCTGACCTTCTACTTTACCAAGCACAATGTCTTTCTCCTGGGACTTGCCCCTCCTGATAACATGTCCAAAGAATGTGAGACGAAGTCTCGCTGTTCTCGCTTCTAAGAAGCATTCTGGCTGTACTTCTTCCAAGACAGATTTGTTCATTCTTCTGGCAGTCCCTGGTATATTCAGTATTCTTCGCCAACACCATAATTCAAAAGCATCAATTCTTCTTCGGTCTTCCTTACTCATTATCCAGCTTTAGCATGCTTATGAGGTGACTGAAAACACCACGACTTGGGTCAGGTGCACCTGAGTCCTCAAAGTAATATCTTTGCTATTTAACACTTTAAAGAGGTGTTTTGCATCAGATTTGCCCAATGTAATACATTGTTTGATTTCTTGACCGCTGCTTCCATGGGTGTTGATTGTGGATCCAAGTAAAATGAAATCCTTGACAACCTCCATCTTTTCTCTGTTTATCATGATGTTGCTTATTGGTCCAGTTGTGAGGATTTTTGTTTTATGTTGAGGTGTGATCCATACTGAAGGCTGTAGTCTTTGATCTTCATCAGTAAGTGCTTCAGGTCCTCTTTGCTTTCAGCAACCAAGTTGTGTCATCTGCATATTTCAGGTTGTTAATGAATAAATATACATATGCATACACCTATATATACACACATATATTCATACCTACCTATTTTTACGCAAATAATGTGAGCTTTCTACATTTGCCAACCGTGCCCCCCTCCTCTGAGGTATTTTTGTAAGCACCACTATGCCAATTTTTTTTCACATGTTGCTGTAAAAAAAAAAAATTAGTATAACATGCTTAGAAAAATACTTATGGGGGGGAGGGAGGGTGGTCGTGGTTGGCAAACGAACACAGGAGGAGCGCTTTATTTGTGTGAAAATACGGCATACACATATATGCCTACATACATACATACATATATGCCTGCATATGTATTTTTTGGTTGTTTTTGCTGTTGTTTCAACATTATATATGCCATAGCAATTACCAACAGGTCCTTTTCTCTTCTGTACTTTTTAGCAACATCGGTCACCTTTGTCAGGATGTGTACACTTCACTCTCATTCAGCGTTACTTTTCCCATCACCAAAAATAACAAGCGCTACTATCTAGAGAGTGAATCTCCCTCCCCCCTATCTCTGGTAACCACTAATGAACATTATTTTCTACATATTTACTTGGTCATGTCGTTTCATAAAAGTGAGAACATACAATTATTTGTTTTTTTGTGATTAACTTATTTCACTCAACATAATATCCTCCAGGTTTATCCACAAAGATGTCTTAGGAACTCAATTTTTATTGTTGAGTGTGTACCACATTTTACTTATCCATTCATCTGTTGATGGGCACTCAAGTTGTTTCCAACTTTTTGCTATTGTAAATAGTGCTGCGATGAACACAGAGGTGTATACGTCTGTTCGTGTCACTTCTATTAGATCCCTAGGGTATATACCTAGGAGTGGAATTGCTGGGTCATATGGCAGCTCTACTTCTAGGTTTTTGAAGAACCACCAGACTGTTTTCCACAATGGCTGTACCATTTTGCAATTTTGCATTCCCACCAGCAATGGATGCGGGTTCCAATTTCTCCACATCCCCTCCATCACTTGTTATTTTCTGTTTTTTTTTTTTTTTTTTTTAAATCTTGGTCATCCTATCAAACCAAACCAAACCAAACCGGTTGCTGTCAAGTCGATTCTGACTCATAGCGACTCAACAGGACAGAGTACAACTGCCCCATAGGGTTTCCAAGGAGGAGCTAGTGGATTCGAACTGCCGATGTTTTGGTTAGCAGCCATAGCTCTCAACCACTGCGCCACCAGGTCAACCTAGTGGGAATGAACAGTATCTCATTGTGGTTTTGATTTGTATTTCTCTGATGACTAATGATGTTGAGCATCTTTTCATGTGTCTGTTGGTCATTTGAATATCCTCTTTGGTGAATGAAGTGTCTTGTTCATGTCCTTTGTCCAGTTTTTAATTGGGTTATTTGTCTTTTTGTTAAGTTGTAGAAGTTTTCGATACATAGTGAAACCTGTCAGAGCCAGAACTCGATGGGACTGCCTTGTGTTTCAGGGTCTCACAAACTTTCCGCCCTTGATAGGGCACAGTCTTACCAGTTTTCTATCACCTTCCACTAGTAGAAAAAATTTGACGGGTTTCTGCCGTACTCAGGTTCCGGCTTTCGCAGGTTTTACTGTATTTTAGATATTAGACCCTTATCAGTTATATCGTTCCCAAAGATTGTTTTTCCTAGTCAGTAGGATGTCTCTTTACTGTTTTGAAAAGGTCTTTCAATGAATATAAGTATTTAACTTCTATGAGGTCGCATCTAAGATATACTTTTAAAATTTAACCACACCATTTTCACACCTAAAAATACTAATAATTCCTCTTAATATTATTAATTATCCAGTCAATCATCCAAATTTCTAGCACTGTTTAATATATTTATTATTATTATTTTTACGTTTGGTTTGTTCAAATCCAGGACCCAAACAGTGGACACACACGGCCTTTTGCTGTATTGTTTACATCTCTTTTAATTGAAAGCCTCCCCATCGCCATTTTTCCCCACAAGTTACTTGTTGAAGAAATTGGGTCATTTGTTCTTTGGAGTTTTACACAGTTTAGATTTTTCTGATTCCATCTCCATTGTGGTTTTAAACAGTACTTTTGCTTTAAATTTCCTGTAGTCTGGTAGTTCTATACGTTTGATGTGATTCATGTTTAATTTTGAGAGGCAGGAATACTTCATACTCATTGCTGTCGAGTTGATTCTGACTCATAGCGACCCTATAGGACAGCGCAGAACTGCCCCATAGGGTTTCCAAGGCTGTAAATCTTTACGGGAGCACACTGCCGCATCTCTGTCTCGTGGAGTGGCTGGTGGGTTCCAACTGTGACCTTTCAGTTAGCAGCTGAGCCATTAACCACTGCGCCACCAGGGCATAAGGCAATAAAAAGGGGAGGGGTATAAAACTGGAAAGGACTAAGTAAAACTTTGCTTTTGCAGATGACATGATTTTCTGCATAAAAAGTACTAAGATGTGTAAAAAAAGTTCTACACTATGAGTAAATGCCAGATTTCTTTCCTTTCTTTAAGGCCAAAAACCAAACCCACTGCTGCTGAGTCAATTCTAACTCACAGTGACCCTTCAGGACAGAGCAGAACTGCCCCACTGTGTTTCCAAGGCTGAAATTTTCATGGAAGCAGACTGCCCCATCTTTCTCCTGAGTGGCTGGTGTGTTTGAACCACAGACCGTTCAGTTAGCAGCTGAGCACTTAACCACTGCACCAGGAGTGCTGTGTAATTCCATCAGGAATTACAGTTGTCTGTCCAGTTGTGTCTCTTTTTATGATTTTTATAGGTCCAGTGACAATCGTTGCTGAGACCATTGCTTAGATCATTACAGGCTGCATAATGGTGATGTTCTAATTTGATCATTTCTTCTTTGTTTTCCGGAGTACTCAATAAAGAAAAAACTTTTTCTCATCAAGTATTTGTTTGCCCAGAGGTACAGTTCTTACAGAAAAGGGAGGTTAAAGGTTTGATTCTTTTCCTTTATTT